CTATATTCTCAAGAATCCAATGAAACCCAGGGGCCTATCTATCATCACTAGAAACCCAGTAGGGTGGCACATCCAAGGAGCATATGCATGCAATCTGTTTTTTCTAAGCAAGTTTGCTGACCTTTTCTGGCTGTTTAAACTAACAAGGTATTATGGTGAAAGAATTCATAACCCAGGTAGCTATCATCTCTAAAAGGAAAATATGGTTTAAGAAGAGTCACTGCTAAGTTTTCAAATGGTCTGTATGATCTTAATAACATCACTGGTACAGGTACCTTCTTACTGAAATCCAGGCCCTCTACTACTAGGCTAGAATGCACTGAAAAGATGTGAGAATAAGAAGGAAATGAGAGTGACTGATTACAGCAATGCAAGTCTTGCTAACTTAAATTTCTTAAATTAGCAGCAGTGCTGCTGGTGAAATCAAAAACTTGCCAGCAGAAAACAGGAGAGATTCAACTTCCATTGCTTCAGGCTACTGCCATCATAACTGCTAACTAGAAAAACATACCGATGACTTGAAGTCAGAGACATCTTGGGTTGAGGAGGAGCCCAGTTTTGGGCAGAAGAAGTTTCAAGAGACCAGTCTTTGCCCTCAGCTAAAGTAGCCACCTACAGGGAGCAGAAAAAAATAATACGGACAGGTAAGGTGCTAATTTTCAAATAAGCTTCAAATGTTCAACCCAGTGCAGCTTCAAATGCATTTGGAGATAACAACTTTTATTTTACTTTTGGGACTGGCAGGCCTACAGGAATGATACTTCCATCAGAGGAATGGATTTTACTACTTTTTATGCTTTTGTGACAGATGACTCTACCGTTCTGTAAACAGCAAAGAAATCTGCTAACAATTTGGCTCTTTTGCATAAAACAATACTTCCAAGGTAACAGGTGGATCCTCAGCTGCTATATCACTGCATAGCTCCAGTGATATCAGCTGAACTACAACAAATTGCACCAGCAACAATCTGGCCCAATTTAGCCAAACAAAACAAAGACTCAAAAAAAAAAATGTAACTAAAAAGCCATTTGAAGATTTAGGTATAGGAAGTCTGAGCCTAGACTCTCTCAGGAATTGCAGCAGGCTTTCAAAGAGAAGTCCCAAAGTTATTTGCAACTATTTTGGACTGTTCCAAGATCCTCAAATAGGAACGGTTAGGAATGCACAAATTGTGCGTATAGATTTACCTTATCTCTAAAAAGAGCTGCAGCTTTACTGTTGTATTTCTCTTGCATCGACCAGCAGGGATCGTAATCATCTTGAGACTCCAGGAACTCTCGAAACTTGCTATTGCCACCAACCTTCATCTTTTCCAGTTCAATATCCTTCCATTTGTCCATGGTGACTGAGCGCACAAAACTGGAGACCAGAATAAGAAATGCCTCACATTTTATAAACTTCAGCCATAAGATTAGAACATAAAATGACACTGTTAGAATACTCTATTTGTAGCTATGCCAGAAGTTAAGCCTTTAGAAAAGCCACACATGGCAGATGCACTTCAGCAACAGATTGTATCAATAGAGCAATTCTCCAAACTGTTTTACTGTAGTGATCTTCCTCCGTCCAGCATAGGAAGGAGTCAAACAACCCACACATACCCATCATAGGTCATACATAAAAGGGTACAGAGTCTAAAAACCTGAAACAATAGGTTGGCTTCACAAACCAACGTCAAGAAGGGCCCATGCCATCACTTGACTGTGTTTCCCAAATTTTTCCCAAGCTGTGAAAAGACTCCTTTTTGTTCATAATGCTGCTTAGCTAATTCTTAACACCTCTAACTCTCGTTCCCATCAGTCCCATTTAGGGGGAACACCCGGTAACTGTTTTAAGCAGTCTACATTGTAAAATCTCATGTGACCTCATTTCATGGCATTTATGACTGGGTTATATAGTTTCCCCTCAGCTTTACTTTGGGCCATAAATTCTTGCTGCTGCTCATTAATCCACAAGGAAAAACTACAGACAGTCCTACTGTGAATGTGTTAAAGCTCAGTCAAAGAGTATACGAGATCACACGCTCACCGAGGTCCAAGAAAATCTGACTCCACCTCATTTCCTTCTATTTTTTCTCCTTCTCCTTACCCTCCCTCCTACCTCCCTTTCTTTTAGTATTCCATGCTGAGCTCAGACAAGCTCCTTCGTGTTATTCATTAGTGCAATCTTTACTCCCCACTCAACTTTAAGTCATCCTTTAAAAACTACTCCTGCAGGTCTTTCTTGTTGGTGGTCTCACTGCTGAACTCTTCATTTCCCTTTCCTACCTGAACAATTAACCCAGTTTTCCCTTTCAGTATAAATCCTAAACCTCCAGGGCAGGTACTGCATCTTATTCTAGGACTCTTGAGCTTACTGCATGTTAGAAGAATGCAAAGCACTTCCTGCATAAGGCAAGAACTTCCAATAAACTTTAGAAGAGGTCCAATAATATACTATGTATGCTTATAGCACTACACAGATGCCCTGGCTGTAGTATGACTTCCAATTTTTTTCCCCTCTCTCCAGAAAAGAAAAAAACCACAAGTGCTCTATTCTGTGTCTGTACCAAAGACTCACCTGAGATGAACTCCCAAGCCTCTGTGTTTTCCTGAACACTCCAGACAGATCCATATCCCATAGGTCACGCTCACCCACTGGGGGTTAAATGCACCACACTCGAAACAGATCTGAAAAAGGAAGCAGACTATACTTAATTCTGTCACTGTTCCCTTTGAATAAGCTTTCAGATTACAGCTAAAAAAACCACCCAGTTTACCCAGAGCAAAAAAAAAATCTGAGTTAAGAGTTCTCAGTGTTTCAAGACAACTGAATATATTTTAGCTCCCTTAAATATCCACATAAAAAACACCTACAGGGTTTGTATTTTACAGGAAGAACAATTTTTGTTAACTTCCCCAACTCAGACTAAAACAATACAAAGCTAAACTGTGCTTTCATTTGCTATACTGTGAAAGACATCTTCATTATAAATGAAGGGCGTGGGGAAAAAAATAATGAACAACACACATAAAAAGATAACCATACAGGTTTAACTAAACTAAGTTTAGTTTTACTGAATCTCCATGCTCCGTCTTAAGTGTTTGGAGCAGTTCTGAAGTCTTGCGAGTTGACTGTCCGACAACCAGCCACAAACATACTTGTAGAAAGTACGGTTTTATTGCCAATGTACATAGGAAGTTTTTCAGAGACACCCAGAGCAATGCCATAGTTTCATAGTTGTTAGGGGCTGGAAGGGACCTTACAGATCATTGGGTCCAGACCCACTGCACTTGGGCAGGAAAGACTGCTGGGATCAGATGACCCCAGCAAGATGGGTGCCAAAATGCAAAAAGTTCCCTGGTTCTATCTTCAAAAAATAAAAATAAAAAATAGAACCAACTTAATGATGCAAAGAAGTTTCCAATAAGACCAAAATGTTAAACAATGGCCCTTCTGGAAATCTCTCTCAATTCAAAGCCATACAGCAGAACTTCAGATTCTAGAAACAAGAATTTTTGGATGTAATTAGAAATCGGGTCACGTTGGTATGAATCATGAGAGTTTTGAATCATAGACTCCCTTCTCTGGCCAGAGCCTCACAGATTGGGGACCCTGCGTACTGACAAGATAAGTTTTATTTGCACCAAAAACCCTAAATACTTTAAGCATGCCAAAAATACCACAAAAAATTCTCTGCGTGTGTTAGGCTAAGTAATCATCACTCATGTTTTACTGTATAACCAAAACCTCTCAAAGGACTTATGCCCAATGCACATTTATCAATCTTGTATTATAATGATTTAATGAAACACTTAAATAGATGCCCAAGTTTGTCACTTAATCTTTGCAAGCTATACTAGTGCCATGAACACAATAGCTCTAGCAGCTGAAGTCAGCTCTCTGGAGTACACCGAGACAGTGGTCGCTGCATAATTAACTACTTCCAGCAAAATTCAAAGAACTTCTTACATTATTTTCATCCTGTGCCCTGACTTCCTTCAGAACTTTCCTTGTTCTTGGACTTGCCATGATTCTATAAAGAGGGGAGAAAGAACAGCGTTAATGCATTTTAAATCAAATTATTGTTCAAATGCTGATAGCATGCTCGGTGGTGCACAAGATACAGATTGTAACACTGCAGTAAGGAACTTGAAGTCTGAAGCTCAAAAGTTAGAGTTAATTGTGGGGGGGAGATGGGAAGGGGCAAGTCACTCAATCTGAAGAACAGGATATTGTTTTTCTTTACAAAAAATACCCACGATTAACATTACATGAAATGGAAAAAGAGAGTGTTTTCCTTACTTTGTGCATTCAGCAGGACTTAATGTAGTCCCACTTCATTAACTGGACATGCAGTCACTAAGCCACAGCTTGCAGGGGATCTACAGGCATGCTCTTCCAGAGTTTTGTATTAACAGGTACACCTACAATAAAACTACAGACGTCACCCAAGATGGGTCCAAAGCATTGTTGACGATGATAGATGTACCCTCAAACCAATCTACTCCCATCACTTGGAAGGGCCTTAATCAACATCCAAGGTGCAGCAAAACTGCATGCAACTGGCCAAATGGTACCAAGGAAAGAAGCCAAGAAGCAGAAACATTCATAAAAGTTCAACTAAGAAGTACTGGGAGGACAATTTCAAGGGTCTCTTATATGGAACTTGATTTTTTAAAACATAAACGCTGCCTTTTAAAACCTCAGTTTCCCTTTAAAATTAAAGAAAAGTGCAATGGTCAGAATATATAATGTGAAACATACTTCAATCTCAGCATTAGGCAGGACTAGACTGTTCAGCTGGCAATTTGCAAGTCAGGAAAAATTGCTCCATGCACTTTCTGCTAACTTACACTTTTTATATCAAGATATACATCTGGAAAGGAATTCTGTATGCAGTCCATACAGTTTTAATCACGTCTCAGCTGCCTGCTCACTGTGTACCTTTAACACAGTGCAGACAACTGTTATATCTATGCATGTAGAAAGCAGCCACTCTTAACTCTTCCCAATTCCCTTGCAGGTCGCGGTTTGTACAGCACTTTAAAGATGCAAGTGATTATAGAAATGCTAAGCACCATGCCCTCTACCCTCCTTTGAAAAGCACACATGCAGACATTCTCACTTGGAGAAAGTCCAACCAATTTCTAGCCTGTAAATTGTTTTTCCTTAATAAAAATTCCTTTAAGGTTTTAATTTATATCATCGCTACCACACAAATTTATTGGAGCACCTTCCCTATGAATTACAAACAATGACATGCAGTACTACAGCAAAACAGTGCAAGGCCAAAGGCTGATGTCTGGCCATCAGCTATGTCAACATAATTCAGGAAGAAGTAAGTACAAAACTGCTGCTACACATTATTACTGTTGAAAGCAGAAGTTATTTATTTCTCTGCAGAAGTGCCCGCTTTTCATCCTCACTCAGAACTAGCCATTGTTTTTAATTCACCATTTGCAAAATGCTGTTTGTCCTCCAACTGTATTGAATGAATCTCCTGTTTTTAAAAAGCTTTCACTTATCATCTACCATGTGTTAATATTATATCAATATATCAATCATATCTATGAAATAATAAAGTAAAATCAGCTGTTCTGCTCTGTGCTAAAGGGCAGCCCCCTAAGGACAGACTTTTTCATATAAAACTGTAGGCACTACTAGATTACCTTGTAATTAATGCTCGATGAAGTAAAAGATTTCAGGTGTCCTATCTCAAATTTAAAATGTATTGGATTTTTGAGCTATTAATCAGGTTAAAAGCAGCTTTTAAATCTTTTAAGAAATGAAAAGGGAATGCACTGCCTGATTAACTTCACTGTCTCTCCAATGAGTGCCTTGTTTTTCTTACATAACTTGCTGTATCCATGTGGGCAGATGTAGATTTTATATGTAATCTGCTACACACAAAATCTACGTCTATGACTACATCGTGGTCAAAGACAAAAAGCTTGCATGAATCAAAAGGCACAAGTGGGCAAGGGCAAAGTTCGACCCCCAAGTTAGGTGCTAGCTTTAACCATGGCAGCCTGGCAGGTCAGTTTCTATAGTCAACAGCACCAGAAAGTGATAGGACTTTGCCCTCCCAGCATTAATGCCCATACCCAGAAAACATACAAGAGCCAAGGGTACTTTGTAATGCCTTTTACTGGGCCAACAGTATATTTGGGGGTGATACTGAACAAGCTTTTGGGCATAACATAACCTTGGTTCGGTAGCTTTATGCCCAAAAGCTTGCCCAATTTCTCACCTAGTTATACCATTGGTGCAATAAAAGATGTCACAAAGACTCCTTGCATCTCGAAAGTGATGGAAGCCGGTAGTTTTGGGGCTGCTACTTGAAGCCTTAAAAAATAAGAGAAGACAGCAGCCCCAAAACTGACTAGCTCTGACCATTGTCAAGGTTTTTAAGTGCAGCCCCTTCTCAACGTCTTTCCTGCTGTGGTTCAGCTATAGGAAGTACAAATAGTTATAGTTAACATGCAGGTACCCTCAGTGCAATGAAATTACAAAGTAAGCAGAGGATCCAACAAGGCGATGCATTTAACCAATGTTTGTTATAATGCAAGCAAAAGAAAACAAATTGGGATGGTCTCTATGCAAATTATGTGGGATGCATGCAAGTGGAATATGCCATAACCGCTAGTGCAGGCTTTCATCCAAAAGATGGACAGAAAAGTGGACTCCACTCTTAAAGGCCGCTGGGCAAGAGATCTCAACAGCTTCCCAGGTACCCAGTGGAATGCAACGGGTATGTCTCAATATTTTCTCAGAGGCCCCCGCAGAAAAACTAGGAGCCCAGGGGTTAGGCTGCTCACATGTGATGCTGGAAACCTGCATTCAAGTGAGGGAGAACAGAGAATTAAGCCTGCTTCTCCCATATCAGAAATGTGTCCTAATTACTAAGTTATTCTGGGTGGGTCTTCCCAATCGATCACCACAAAATCCATTCTAGACTTGAGAAACCTTCCCCCAAAATGGTTTGACATGCAATAAAGTTTCAGTTTCTACAACCAAAACTTTCATAACAGTTTCGGACCATCTCCAATCAGAACCAACGTCCTACTAAGGAAGGGTCTTGTCCTCTGACCAGGTTGAACTGGGAATGAGAAGCCAACTTCAGATCCATGCCAGCAGCCTGAAATAAATCCCCTTAGCACACCCCTGCACTGGTTAAGGCAAGAGAAAGTCCATTCCCCTGCTCTACACACTTCACTTCATTAGTCTTCTCCCACTCAGTGCTAGGACTCAGCAGCTGTGCTTCCAGGAATGCTTGAATCAGGAGGAAAATGAGAAAAGAAAGTTGGGTCTGTTCCCCACGACACTGTATTTAGCTGGTGATACAGAGGAGTCATACATAGAAAAATCTTCTAAGTCCTATTCAGACAATGCGGATGAAGGATGTCTCCAAGAAATGCACTGGGGCACTTATGACTTGCAGGAAAACAGCAAGTTTAAGGTGCTATAAAAGTCACAACCTGCATTGCAAGTAGGCAAGTATAGACGGTTCACAGTGAACTTCCCGGGCTGAAGTCAGGCAGAATGAGGTTTACAACTCAGAAGACCCTGGCCCTTGGCTCTCACCTTCATGACCAAGTCATTTTTTCCAACTCATCTAGTCCCCACAGTCTGTTCTCCATACAAATACTATTCGGTCATAGGATCCACTCACTGCAGTAAAACCAGTCGGCTTCACTATGCATTTCCTTCACAAGCTATTTCCTTTTTGAACGGTCAGAAATAGGATGACCATGCTCTAAGACAAGTGCAGGCCAGCCCTTTTGATATGTGTACCACAAGTTGGGTCCCATGCACTCTTCAAGTGCCACGCCGATCCTTTCCCTCTGCCCAATCTGCTGCTGTTCCCCATGCCATCCCCAATCTGCCATGTTACTCATGCCATGAGGTGGCCACCCCCTACTCTAAGATACAGGTAGAGAAAATGCAAAACTGCTACCACGGTCACATGAAGAGTTTCCAATTTTATACAAACAGAGATCAGCCACCTTCAGGAAAACAGATGTGAAACTGGCAAAAAAAAGTCTAATTATGGTGAGAGTTAGGCTCCTTGCACTTTCACCATAGTGGCTATAGGATTACGAGTAAACCCCCAAAACAGCTTGATCAAAACACTCCAGCTGCTGTTCGACAGCAACACTGATGTTCAGCCAATCAATTCCTTGAGTATGACACAAACTTTTATGCACCAAGCAGACACTTCCAAACCAGAGAGTCAATGCAAGCTCCATGTATTTCCTGAGAAGTTATCATTCCACAAACCACAAGGCCAGCAGCCTTGAAGATTGCATGTCTACCATTTTACTCACATATCCACACTTTGTTTGTCTACAAGCAAAAAAAACATGGCAAAAGAGGTAAGTCAGGAAGGAATTTGACCCCACAGTCAAACTGGTACCAAGGGAAGAGGAGTTTGCCTCGCTCTGTAGCAGGGGGCATGATCCACTCCCCAGAATCTCATGAGCATATACTGATATACTGACATGTTTCAAAGAAGCAGGACATTGACTGCCGCAGTTCCCCTGCTTTACTGCATCCAGTTTGGGTCTTAAGATACGTTGGCATCAGGGTTCACAGTAGTCTTATGTAGAGTTTAAATGATGATTTGTCTGGGATGGTTTGGGCGGGGCTGATCCTGCCTCAAGCAGGATGTCCCTTCCAGACCCACTTCTGTCTTTCTATGATCTCAGCCAAGCCTCTGCCCGAGGCAGGATCATAACATGATGGAAAACAAGGGCTGGAAGGGATCTCAGGGGGTCACGTCTAGTCCAACCCCCTGCTCAAAGCAGGACCAGCCCCAACTACATCAACCCAGACAAGACTTTGTCTACCCAGATCTTAAACACCTCCAAGGATGGAGAGTCCACCACCTCTCGGGGTAACCTGTTCCAGTACTTTACTGCCCTCCTTGCGAGTGTTTCCTAATATCCAACCTCAACTTCCCTTGCTGCGACTTGAGCTCATTGCTCCTTGTTCTGTCGTCTGCCCCCACTGAGCGAAGTCCAGCTCCATCATCTTTGCAACCCCCCTGCAGGGAGTTGAAGGCTGCTATTTAATCCACCCTTGGTCTTCTCTTCTGTAGACTGAATAAACCCAAGGCCCTAATCCTCTCCTCACAAGTCCCATTCCCTTTGAACTGTTTTCATCGCCCTCCACTGGACCCGAGATCCCATCTGCTCATCGCACCCCTTCAGGAGTGGGGGGCCCAACACTGGACTCCACCAGTGCCGAGCAGATGGGAGCGGTCCTGCTTGGAGCAGGGGGTTGGACTAGACGTGACCTCCTGAGGTCTCTTCCCACCTGAATTTTCTCTGATTTTGAGACTCGCTCCCCCGGGTCTGCTGGTAACTCTGCTAAGAAAGCAGCCCAGCTTGCTAGGAGGGGGCGGCACAGCTGGCTCTGGGGTGCGCTGCTGGCACGAATCTGAAGCTGGTTCCTCATTCCCGGCTCCTTTCTTCAAAGCTCATCTTGACGCAATGAAAGGCTGTCAGCAACACGAGGGCTCGAACGTCCTCGCACGCCTATCGGCGCATAAAAAAGGTGAAGTCGTCTCACACAGCCAGGACCGGCCCCGTGCTGCCCCAGGCAGGGGGTGCACGAGGAGTCCTTTCCAGCCCCTCTTCTCTGTGGGCGACAAGGGGGCCAGGGGTACGGGGCAGCCTCCTTCCCCACTTGCCCCAGCCCACCTGAGGGCAGCCACGCGCCAAGGGATGCCCTGGAGCCGAGCATCCGGGAGGCATCCCGCCAGCACCAAGATCAAGACCAGGACCAGCACCAAGAGCGGGACCAGGACCAGGACTAGCACCAGGACCAGGACTGGGACCAGGATCTGGACCTAAGACCAGTACTAGAACCAAGACCAGGACCAGCACCAGGACAACCACCAGCAGCAAGACTGGACCTGGACCCGGGCCCAGCCCCCTCACCTATGCTGGGCGCCCCGGGGCAGCGCGGGGTTGGGGTTGCGGCTGCTCGGCTCGGCCCAGCCCGCGAAGCACCTCGTCCGTCCGGCCGCCTGGCCCCGGCCCCGGCCCCG